AGGGCACCGGCCCCATATGCTGGAGGTGGTGGGTTCAAACCTGGCCCCAGCCAAAAACTGAAAATAATAATAATAATAAATAAATAAATTGCTGAATAATATTTCATTGTATGGATGTGTCATAGTTTGATTATTTATTCACCTAATGAAAAACATCTTGGTTGTTTCAATTTTTTGAGGATTGTGAGTAAAGATGTTATAGACAGACACATGCAGGTTTTTGTGTAGACATACGTTTTCAAATCAATTTGGTGACTACCTAGGATCACAATTGCTGGATCATATGGAAGGTTATGTTTAGCTTTACAAGAAACTGCCCAGCTGTCTTCCAAAGTGGTTGTACCATTTTGAGTTCCTACCAGCAATAAATGAAAGTTCCTGTTGCACGGTGTATTCACTAGTATTTGAAATTGTCAGTTTTTTAATTTTAGCCTTTTTAATTAATAGGTGTATAAAAGTATTATTTTTAAGACAGTTACATGTTTTTATGATATAAACATTGTAATATTTCTTGTAAGAGTTGGTCTTCAGTTTGCTTCTTGTTCTCACAGAATGTCAAACAGCTGTAGAAACCGTCTAAGAATGATTGAGGAAACAGTCTCCTACCCCTACCAAAAAAAGGGCATCTTGCCTACATTTCCCAATCAGATTACTGAGCAAAATAATATGACCTGTTTATTTAACAGCGTAATGCATACATTTTCTTTCAGGATATAAAAAAGGACAGACTTTCAAAATACAAGACTCCTTTTGTTTACGAAGTTCTGTAAAAGTACATTAAGTATGCTTTAATGTTTGTCCTTTGACTTATATTCCAGTTTACCAGAAACAAAAAATAGCAATACATAAAGATATGCAAAGCACATTAATCTTGCAGTGTTAAAATGTCAACATCATCACAAACACCTTGCAAACGTAGCTTTCCTAGTTGCGTAACAATCGTCCCATGTTTTGCAACTTTGAGTGTTTCTACTGGCACTTCAAAGGGGTTGGCACATTTGTCATCTTAAAAGAGAACCCTACATTTCACACCTAACTTTCTATTAGCATTTTTTGGACTCAAATGATAAATTCTCTCCACTGAGAGATTAACCTCATTATCTACACTCATCGCTACCTTTCTGTCTCATTTTCTTTTCCAAGTAACTGGTGCAGTGTTGGTCAGGACTCCATTTTTTTCTTCAATGTACTGGGCAGTCACTATTGTTTTCTTTTGTTTTAATATTTCAGGCTCCTTTATTCCATGAATATTTACAGAACATCAACTATAGGCAAAACATTGGCCTAATCATTGAAGATAACCTTGGGACAAATGTATCAGTTTTATGAAGAAACAAAAGCATTATCTACAAATCAATTATGAGATAGGTGAACTCATTACCACCACTCCTAGTCAAGTTGAAGATCCTAGCTAGTGCAATTATGATAACTTAAAATCCCAATAGTTTGTAAAAAAAAAATACAAATTTCATTACTTCAAGTTACCAAGTTACTTGCAAGTTACCAAAAGCAATAGAAAAATTCAGCAATATTGCTAACTTCAAAATAACTATACAAAATGAATTATATTCCTATATAAAAACAGAATTACAAAATAATATTAGAAAAAGAAAGATAGCATTGTATCAGCAACCAAAATAGAAAGTACTCATCAATATAGCTTTAACAAGAGCTGTGAATTTTTTTTGATACATAATCATTTACTACTTGTTTGTTACCGAATACACAAGACAAAATACAAATAGCAAACAAATTTTTTCCTTATTATGTTTTTACCAAAGTCTAAAAAAAATGCACAACTAATATATATAAATAAAAGTAAAAAATAATTTCTAAAAAACAAACAAACAAAAAAACCAGATCATGCCAAGTCTTGTAGACAGTAGAAATAGAAATACTTCAAAATCATTCTACTTAGTCTGGATACCCCTGATAGTAAAATTAGAAAAAATATATTACTATAAAGGGGAAATTACAGACCTATTTCACTGATGAATAAGGATACAATCTGATAAACAACATATTGGCATGTTGAATTAAAAATTGATGTTTAAGGCTCGGCGCCTATGGCTCAACCGGCTAAGGCGCCAGCCACGTACACCTGAGGTGGCGGGTTCGAATCCCCAGCCCGGACCCGCCAAAACAACAATGACGGCTCAACCAAAAAATAGCCGGGCGTTGTGGC